AGAGATAGATAGATAGATAGATAGATGATAGATAGATATAGAGATAGATAGATAGATAGATAGATGATAGATAGATATAGAGATAGATAGATATAGAGATAGATAGATAGATGATAGATAGATAGATAGATAGATAGATAGATAGATAGATAGATAGATAGATAGATAGATAGATTTAAAAATATTCAGTCTCCCATTGAGTACACTGCAAAGAACACAGTTTTGAAAAGATGGGAGTGAATCTTAAGCTACCAAATTTCCTTACCGAGTATATTATATTTGGGTAGGTTTGGAAAAAACGTGGGATTTCAGTTTCAGAAATAACGCTGGGAGTTTTAGCTCAGGATGGTAGCAATTTTCGTTTTCAGGCCAGGTGGAAGTGAGTAAACATTCCTGCCCTTTAAAATCAGAGCAGAAAAAAAAAAATTCAGGATCCTAAAAACGGGTTTCCACGAAAACCTTTAAATTGAGTGGATATAAGTAGTCCTCGACTTACAATAGTTCATTTAGTGACCATTCAAAGTTACAACGGCAGTGAAAAAAATGGACAGGGCCGCTTTTCACGACCGTTTCCGCCTTCCAACCCTGCTCCAGGAGGACATGGTTAAAATGCGTTTCTGTCTTTTGATCCCCCAGTCACATGACTACATAGCCACACCCCCCCAGTCACATGACCCCACCACCACCAAGCCACGCCCACAGAACCGGTAGTTTAAAAAATGTTAGATTTCCCTACTGGTTCAACATCTCACCGCTGTAAGTCCAGACAGACCAGAATTGAGCTCGCCACGTATCGTCGCTAAGTGAGACATTGGGTAAGTGAATTTTCCCTGAATTGACCCACAACTCCCTGTTTGGGTCAATGTGTGAAGGAGGATGAGAAGGCCCAGTGAATTGTTTCCGCACAGGATTGGGGGGGGGGGTGCAGAGGAAACCCCCCCCCCCACTTTAAAACATGGTGTTTGGAAGCAGGTCCAATTCCGCTGGGAGAACAATTGGGATGGGGATGATGGGAACTTGTCTTCCTCTGACCTTCCCGCTTCTTCTTTCTCCGCAGGATACCCCGCTGGGACGCCCTACAAAGTCCCTCCAACCCAGAGTAATANTGCCTGAATTTGGATCCTGTGAGCATGGGGATGCAACGGTCGTTAAGTGTGAAAAAAAGGCTCTAAGTCCCTTTCTCCAGTGCCGTTTGTAACTTTGAACGGTCAGTAAATGAACTGTTGTAAGTCGAGGACTGCCTGTAGGGAAAACTTCTGAAAACATCTCGGCTCCCTTTAAGTTAAAAACTAAAAACCTTCCAAATTTCAGTTTGTTAGCATAAAACAGAGGTGTTCAAACTTAGCAACTTTAAGAGTTGTGGACTTCAACTCCCAGAATTCTCCGGCCAGCTATTTCTGGCCGGAGAATTCTGGGAATTGAAGTCCACAACTCTTAAAGTTGCTAAGTTTGGGGACCACTGGCATAGAAGTCAGGAGCCAAAATGCATTTATTTGGACCCTGAAGATTTGCGGATGGGCCATGTTTTAAAATACATTTCCAAATTTAGGGCCTAGGAGCTTAGCAACCTCAAATCGCAGCTAGATTTAAAATCTTGTCTCGCTGCATGTCAGTCTAAATCCCAACACCCACAACCAAGGGCATTTTGACATACACAGCACTAGTTGGATACTTGTGCTTCGTGACGAAACTACGTGATGAGGCAATGCAGGAGAAATCCATTCAATCCGTTGCCTCAGTGATGCTCAGTGATTGAAACACCTGAGGGAAGATCGCTCCCGCCGCCTTGAGTCCGGAAGCCGTACCATAGGTGGAAGGCGCAGACATTGTGGTGAGGTACCGATGTCTAGTACTGTAAGGAGCCCCAGACAGTTCCTGATTGAAGGAGTGGAATGTCTGGCAGTTTGAACTGAGGTAACGGAGCGTGAGGCAACTGGCAGTTGGAACAGAGTTCTTTTCAGGTGGGCAGGGGGAGTAGAACCCCCTTAGCTTCAGAATGTGTTAATTACTGTATAAGAAATACTAATGAACTGAGGGTTATTTTGAAAAATCCTTTCTTAGTGAGCACCTAGAAGCCAAGAGGAACATATCTGCCAAATTTCAAGTTTGTAGGCTTTACGGTTCTGAAGATTTCATGATGAGTGAATGATAATTGGGTTTGACAGAGAAATAGATGATAGATAGATAGATAGATAGATAGATAGATAGATAGATAGATAGATAGATAGATAGATAGATAGATAGATAGGAATGTAGGTAGGTAGGTAGGTAGGTAGGTAGATGATAGATAGATAGATAGATAGATAGATAGATAGATAGATAGATAGATAGAAAGGTAGGTAGGTAGGTAGGTAGGTAGGTAGATGATAGATAGATAGATAGATAGATAGATAGATAGATAGATAGATAGATGATAGGTAGGTAGGTAGGTAGGTAGGTAGATGATAGATAGATAGATAGATAGATAGATAGATAGATAGATAGATAGATAGATGATAGGTAGGTAGGTAGGTAGGTAGGTAGATAGATAGATAGATAGATAGATAGATAGATAGATAGATAGATAGATAGATGATAGGTAGGTAGGTAGGTAGGT